AAATGAAAAATATATTTTATTGCATTAATTTTTGGGAAAAAAACGAATTTTAGTTATTTTTCTATAATTATTTTGCAAGTTGGTTCTCCAAAATAGGAATCAGATGCAAGTTGGTTCCCCAAAATGACGATTTTGAAAGTTGGTTCCCCAAAATAAGAATCGGATGCAAGTTGGTTCTCCAAAATGACGATTTTGAAAGTTGGTTCCCCAAAATAGAAATTAGGTGAAAGTTGGTTCCCCAAAATAGAAATTAGGTGAAAGTTTGTTACATTTTGGTGCAATTTTCTCATTTAATAAATTAAAAAAAAAAACCAAAAAATTGTAGCATATAATAAGAGGTAAAAAGAATTTAGTAGATAATAAGGGCACATAAATATATCAACTAATTACATTGGAAAAAAAATAAAAAAATTAATTGGTCATTCATTATATGCTATTGTTTATTGCCTCTCTAATTTTTTTTTAATCTCCAATAATGTCCAATGATATTGGCTATTTGCTATCTCTGTATGCTTGACTATTTTTGTGTTTCAACATTTTAACTTTAAGATCATGTGCTTGCTATTACTATATATTTTTATCAATTTTTGCTTCTATTGACTATTGTTATTTGGTATTCTTGTTCTAATTGTTTTTGTTGACTATTGTTATCTATTTTTCCTTCTACATAAAATGTTTTACTATTGTTTGACAATCAATCTATTGTTCTTATAATCTATGACGTGTTTCATGATTTTGTGATTAATCAATAAAATTTTTCTACCGGATGTATTTAGTAATGTCTCTTATATATGTCATGTTCCATAAACTTTTAATCTTTAACATCTTATTTTAGTTGAACAAAAAAAAAGGAAAATAGAATTCAAATATTTTTATCAATTGTTTGACTTATGTATCTTTTATTGGGATTCCACCACACCACAAGATTCTATTTAAGTGCTCAAATAATCATTTGTTGAACTTGCATATTATATGTTTAATTCATTATTTGCTATTATTGGATCTCAATGGATCATTTTTTCTTTCATATTTTTATTGATCCTCATTTGTCTACTTGTATAGAAAACCTTGATAATTATTTTTATTATTGATCTCTCATTCACTCACACGAATTCTCTTTTTGTATCAAAATAACACATATTTCTTGTTATTAAGATTTCTTTCTTTACTGAATTATTAGCATTTTTTGTACTCAATTTTATACTAATGGAAATAATTTATTGAATTTTTTTCCCGTACTTACCGAGGGTCACTACAAGAAAAGTAAACTCTGACGATGCACTTTAAAGAGATGACATGTTTCCGCTACAAGTTATAGCATGTCGTTGTTATATACTCTTTCTGATGATAAATACATTTTTTGCGACGACAAAAGTCGTTGCCTTGTTTCTTGCAGTGGGCCCTGTTTTTATGTTCGTCCAGGGCCTATAAAATGTCAGAAACGGACCTGTTGGTAAGTGTCCCCTGAGTTAATTGTTAAATCTTATGTTCTTATACGTTCATTTTTGTCGCTAAAACGACAGGAAGAGGAGAAGAGTATGTCGATTACATACCCGGCTTACAACCGATTAAGGTGACGGATTTTCCGGTGGTCGATCGGAGATTCCATGGCATCATACCCGATCTTGTTTCTATAAACAAAAAAGCACAATTTCTACTACTAGCAACCGTGTATGAACTAGAACCCGAAGCCATTGATGCTATCAAACACAAATTTCAAATACCCGTTCACGCCTTTGGACCCAACATACCCAACTTACGGCTCCAACCCGCTTTTCCGTCAAACGAGCACAGTTACTTCTCGTGGCTAGACTCCAAGCCTGCAGGATCGGTACTTTATATCGCATTAGGAAGTTATCTCTCGGTTTCGAGTGCTGAAATGGACGAAATCCTTGCCGGATTGAAGCAAAGTGGGGTGAACTTCTTGTTGATTGCAAGAGGAGATGCGTTTTCACGGTTGAGTCGAGATTGTGGGAGCAACGGTCTGGTGACGGAATGGTGCGACCAGTTGCGGGTGTTGTTACACTCTTCGATTGGAGGGTTTTTGAGTCATTGCGGGTGGAATTCGATCAAGGAAAGTGTGTTTTCGGGTGTGCCGATTTTGACGTTTCCTATAACGGGCGAGCAAGATATTAACAGTGAAGTGATTGTTGGAGATTGGAAGATCGGTCGGAAGGTGAAGACGGGGAGTAATGTGGTGGCGAGGGCGGAGATCGCGGCGGTGGTACGGCGGTTTATGGATCGTGAAAGTGATGAAAGTAAAGAAATGATGGAAAGGGTGAAGAAAGTTAAGGGTGTTTGCAGAGTGAGTGTGAGTGAAGGGGGGTCAGCTACAAGAGAGATTGATTCTTTCATTAGGGACCAGTTGGGTTTGAGCGATAGCAAAGTTGGTAAAGCGGTGGAGTGATCGACTGTTTTCAAATACATATTCAAGTTTGAATTTCGTAGGAGAACCCCTCCACCAGTATCAGTCTTAGATGTCGTTTGTTTTTTAAGAGATGTTGAAGTCTGAAGTCATGATTTCATTTCTAATTTATAAGTGGTGGTCCTTAGATCTGAAATCTTAATTAATAAGATTAAATACTAATAAGAATAAAGTCTCAAATTATAACTAACATAGAGTTTTGATTCTAAGATTGATGGTTCATAAAATAATTTGTTTTAACTCAAAAAGTTTAAAATGATGATGAAAAACATTAATATGAAGTGAAATAAAAACTACATGAACTATATTAATTTATATAAAATATTACTATGAATTGTCAATTTTTTACTACAGACGATGTCAATCTATAGAATCTTCAACCGTTATGCAATATTTTTTTTAAACTAGAAGTATTAAAAATAAAAAATCTCTATGAAAATTACTTTCAATTTCAACAGCTACTTTATTTTTATATTAATTATATTATTAAACATATTAATACTTAAAAATACCAAATCATTTATCATATCAATATAATAACCGATCAATGTTTCGGTCAGTAAATATTTAAATATATAAAACTTGAAATCTTAGATTTTAAAATGAAAGTTTTTAAAATATATTTTTATAATATAAATCAAATCAAATCAAAATTTATTACTTTTTTTCTTACAATTACCCAAAAATATTTTAAAAAATGAAAATTTTATAAAAAATGCTCTAATATTTTTTTGAAGATTTTAAATCATTTTCTTTCCTTTCCTCTCTGTGCTAGAAATTATGATTATTTTCTTTCAAAAACACACGTTTTTTTTCCTTTCCTTTTATAAAAGGAAGCTTCGAGAACAACTGATGGGCCGAGCCTCATCTATCAGAACCAGATTTCAACAGCAAAACCGGATTATCAATGGCCTCATTATGAAGAAGAAAACATGAACAAGATGTCAAACACAAACTTTAATCCAAACCGAACAGATATATTAGATTAAAAGACCATCAATGGTCAATGAGTTTTACAAGCCACCCGTCAAGAACAACCCAACAAATGCCATGAAAACTCTCATTCCCATATATATATATATTTACCATTTATACAATTCACCATCTATTTCTTGGTCTTAAACCCATTCTTCACATCGTTCCCTCCTGACGAATCCTTAGCCCATTTTTTTGCCAATTTCTCTTGAAGAGCTTTCGCATCCCTGCTCCAAGAAAACCCCCAAATCAATCAGTACAACATTTATATATAATGATTAAACAGAATTACAAAAAATTTGATAAAATCTTGAATACCAAGCCAAATATTTTGGTTAAGTAGCCATCAAATCAGTTGGAAGTTATCTCAATCAATTTGTTATGCTGGATGAAGTTGGATACAAGATGGAGAAAAAAGTGAAAAACATAAAAACCTCTCTCGTCTTTGTTCAGGAGTTAGCCCATCAGCTTTAGGCTGCTTAGCCTTGCCGCCAGCTCTTGCTTGAGCACGTTCCCTATCACGATCTCTTTGGTTTCCGCGTAATCTTCGAAGTTAAGATTTAACAAGCATATAGATATCACATAATCATACCTAATATATTCTCACTGATAAACCTTCAGATCGACGGATTTTATGCAATAAAGTAAAAAAATCAAACAAATATGATCACAAACCATCGAGATCGTTATTTGTTTGCTTAAAATTCTGAAGAAAATCAAGTAAGCCTTCACAGATGTTAAAAAGAATCGATAATCCAAAAAATAGCAATCTGAAACTGGAGAAACGAAGCATATCGGGAAGGATATGAGACATAATTCTCGATTCACGAACAGCCGAACCAAAAGATCTAACAACACGCTGTTATCAGACCCTGGAAAATTTTGTTTTCAAAGAGAAAAACAGAATTAAAATGCATCAATTTGCAAGAACTTGATCGATTAAACATCAACAACAACAACAAAACTACGGATATCAAATGTACTTCAGGGAAGAAAATTACCAAATCGGAGAGCAGTGAACGAGAGAATGATAGAGAAATTGGACGACGATACGTCGACTGATTCACACAGTCGAAGGTGAAAGCTGGCAACCGAATAAGCAGGAGGTATTTATAGCATGTGAGAGAGGAAGAATCGAGAAGCTGCGGGATAATTGAGGATTTGGTCCTATGTTCCGCGCATATTGATCTTACCATGGGGACGATCTCAGATCAATACTGGCCGTTGGATCACCAATTAGTGAATCATTTAGATGCGGGCCCCAGAATGAAATTAGAGTAAACTATAAATTTAGTACCTGTGGTTGGTCAAAAATAACAGTTTTCATCCTTATAGTTTTTAAAATTACAAGATCATTATCATGGTTTGCAAAAATATTCGTATTTAGTCCCTTTCTTTACTTGAAGACTTCGTCACATGAAGGCATTTTCATTTTTTTATCGATATTTTTTTCTTTTATCAGATCAAAAACTATAGGGACTATGATCATAAAATATATTTTTTTGGGTAAAAAAAGACAAAAAAAATCGAGAAAAAGCAAAAATGTCTTTGATTTAACGATTTTTTTAAAGAAGTTAAAGAAAGGGGCAAGAGACCAAAACCGTAGAGAATTATAAATCACAAGGTATGGAATAATAATAATTTTAGACCAACAAGATGAAAATAACAATGAATTACAAACCATATGAATGAAAAAACACAATTTCTAAAGCACGGGGATGAAAATCATGTTTTTTTAATAAAACAACAGGGACAAAAACATAATTTATATGGTAGACTTGGGATCATGTGAGACTAAAGGTTTTTCGTGAGACCCGTAAGACCAATTCTCAACTTTTGAATTAGATTTATAATCTGAACATTCATAATCACAAAATTGTCACGAGACTTCTCAATAATCACAAAATTGTCACCGTACAATTTTAGATCATTAGCTTATAAAGTTGATCAATGAACATAAATGGGTTTTATGGGTCTCATGAAAAACCATTGATCTCACATGAACCCAACCCTTACATGAAAAAGATTGAAATAAAAATAATAGTATATTCTCCGAGTTTAAACCCAATTTTTTTGTCGTTGAATAACTAAAAGTTAATATTTAAATTATAATAAAATAATAATTACTTAAAAATATTTTTTAGTAACACTAATATGAATTATTTTTATATTTATGTTAAGAATTAGGGGTTTGACAGTTCTTGAATGGTTTGGTACATAATGATTAATAGACTCTCATTATATAGTGAAAAAATGAAATATAATTGTTTGATAATTGTTTACAATAAAATTAGAGAGTTAAATGATTAAGGAAGACCCATGATACAAAATCATTCAGAGGGTTTTAGAATCATGAAGATGCAGACTTTTTTTTACCAAACAAGATTAATCTTTTAATGATTCAGAGATTGTCTCTTAATGAAACTATTAAGATGTAAACAAACCGCCACTTAGTTTTCTTATTACCATGATTACTTTGATTTCAAATTTGACAATGATTATCGTTAATTTAAATTATAATTAATAATTTAAACAATTGAGAGTTAAATTCAAGAACGCAACGAAGGGAAAATAAACCTAACATTAGGCTTTTTAACTGATTTCATGATCCACAAAAATTTACAAGTAATAAATTATTTAGTAAATTACAAATTTGGTCCCTATAGTTTGTCAGATTTAATATTTTTCATCTCTACAGTTTCAAAATTACAAGATAACTGTTATGGTTTAAAAAACATCTGGATTTTGTCTATTCATATAACGGCCTTAAAAAAACTCGTTCATATATCGAGTTTTCTTTGTCTTTAACCAATCAAAATCAATAAAATAACGTAAATGGATTAATTTTACTGGAATCTTTTAACGATAGTTAGAAAAAGGGAACAAATTCAAATGTTTTGTAAAATGTGATGGTCATCTTGTGATTTTGAAATTGTAGGACGAAATGTGTAATTTACTCTAATTTATCTATACTATATTATAAAGAATTTGACAAAAATTCTTAAAAACCATTTTTGTGCATAAAGTACTGTATATTGATGCATATTACTTAAATTTCAAGATTACAAGTAAATTATGCATAAGTACAACTTATTAAAGCTTCAAGTTTGAATTCATGTAACTAACTGCATATAAACATAATCAAATAGATAATAAATATTTCATTTTTAAAATATAATTACTATAATTATCAAGTTCTAACAAAATAATTATTTATTATCTTTATAAGGAAAAAAAAATGCATAAATACAACTTATTAAAGTTTCGTTTGAATTCGTATAACTATCTGCGGAAAAACATAATCAAATAGAGAATAAACATCTCATTTTAAAATCTAAAATATAATTAAAATAATTATCAAGTTCTAACAAAATGATTAATTATTATTTTTATAAGATTACTATATCATTAAATCAAATATAAATTACTTCGTTATTGAACCTAATTAAGTTATAATAAAAAAATTAAATTAAAAAAATTACATAAAAATGAAAAAATTTAAATAGTTAATTTGATACTAATATCGATATATTTTTGTCAAATTTTATGATATCTTCAAATTTATATTTTATTGAAAAATAAAAACATCATCGTTTTTTTCAAAATCATATAATACCATATTATAACATCTACTAAGATAAAAAAATAAAATATTAAATTAAGATGTATCTCGCTAGGTAATGTGAGTAGTCTTCTTGTTATTAATACATGATGTCATAAATTTAAATCTACAACTAATTACGGCATACGTATGAACTTCTAAATGACATTTTGATGCTTGTTATTAATACATTTTGTAGCATAAATGACTTTAAATTAGCGATGTCTGCAGTCTGGTTTAAACGGTTTAATCCCCAAACCACAAACCAAAATTGCAATGACCGTTTAGAAAATTTCCAAATCAAGAGGTTTGGTCGCAATTGACCAAACCGAACCAGAAAAGGCGGTTTGATTTGACCGTTTTAGGAGGTTTAGGCCCGTTTACAGGTTTTAAACTAACATAACTTAACATGTATATCCAAAACAAAATTTCTACCAAAATAACATTATTAAAAAATAGTATATATAATTATGAAAAAAAACCGTCTATCTTTAAAATTATAACAAAAATAACATTTGAGCAAATTGAAAAAAAGTTAAACGAGTCTACCAACTGTAGTTTTAAAATTTTGGACAAACATTGAGCAAGTCGAAGAACGGTTATAACTTTGTATTTGATTTTTGATGGATTTCAAGATTTTGCCAATTCAGATAACGTAGTCACTTAAGAAATGAAAATTAAAAACATAACGTATAGTACGAACTTTTTTTAAATTGGGTCATAAAGTTGAGCATACAACATGAAAACTATATACAACTTATATATGTGGACTTTTGGATGTCAATTCGGTCCAAACTGCTAAAAAAAAGTTCAAATCGCGGACTAGACCAGACCGAATGTTTGGCTACTTTTTAGATCAGACCGTCAGACTGCTCAAACTGCTAAAAACGGTATGTTTAACTTGATTCAGCCAATTTGAACAGTTCAACGGTTTTTTTTAAAAACCGTACTTTCAAATTATCATATTTTTTTGGGGCAAAAAGTGTGTTAGGATATTAAATGCATTAATGATTTAAAATAATATAATGAAAATCTCCAAAATGACATATCCGAAAATAATATAATTTAACCATAATTGTTGATAAAAAAAATGAACGACTTAAATAAGTTTATAAAATGAGTACTGACTAATTGTTAGCAAAAGAATGTGGGGGCTGTTTAATTGCGGCTTAATTAGGCTTATTGGTCTATCTGGCTTATTCGCACAGCTCATTTGGGTTGTTTATTTACGGCTTAGGGGATGTTTATCAAAAATTTTATTAAGTCATGTATATTTGTCTGTCTGGATAAATTTTTCTGTTTGGATAAATGGGTGTTCTTGTTTATTTTTTTTATCTGAACCAACTGTCTGATAATATAAATGACCGATTTACCCCCCAATATTAATTATTTGAACATTAAAAAAAATAACAAAGAGGCCAATGATGAGGTGTCTCGTATGGGAAGGAGACGGTGCTTTAAATAAGGGGTAGTGGTGTCATTTATGGTTGAATGGGGACAACACATCATTTCTGTTTGTGCGATTAAGCCATGTTCTGTGCGAATAAGCCGTAAGTCAACCACTCAAATGAGCTGTGCGAATAAGCCAGATAGACCAATAAGTCTAATTAAGCCGCAAGTGAACATCCTCTTATTTACACAGAACATGGCTTAATCGCACAAATAGAAATGGTGTGTTGTGCCCATTAAGCTACAAAAATGACACCCCTACCCCTTACTTAAAGCACAACCTCCTTCCCATATGAGACACCACATCTTCGGCCTCTTTATGATTTTTTTTGTTTTGATGTTCAAATAATTAATATTGGGGGTAAATCGGTCATTTATGTTATTCAGACTGTTGGTTCAGATAAAAAAATGTAAACAACATCTATTTATCCGGACAGACAAATTTATCTATACAAGACTTAATAAAAAATTTGATAAACAGCCCCTGAGTCTGTACACAAACATATATATATATATGTGTGTGTGTGTGTGTGTGTGTGTGTGCGCGCGCTTGTTTCCAATAGAAAATTAAAATTTCGTTGGAAGTGTTAAGATATGTTAATGTATGTCAATTTACCAGATCATGATTTTCAAATGTGATCCTAACTTTTCTCTCTCTCTCTCTCTCTCTCTCTCTCTCTCTCTATATATATATATATATATATATATATAGAAAGAGAAAGGGAGTTGAGATCACGTGAGACTAGTCTGTTTTCGAGAAGACTCGTAAGACCATTTTTTTACACTTGTATTTCACAACAAAAAGTTGTGAAAGTAACCTTCACAATGTTTTTTTACTGTGAAGGCTCAGCTTTTTTTTTACCTTCACAGCGTTTTACTGTGAAGTTTTAAGTGCAAAAAAATGGTCTCACGAAAAATGTTTGTCTCCAATGAACCCATCTCTCTCTCTCTCTCTCTCTCTCTCTCTCTCTCTCTCTCTATATATATATATATATAATTTTAAATATATTAATAAATACATATTTTGATATCAAAAAGCTTTTATTTTGTAATTTAAATATATCAACAAATACAATTGGTTACATCTGAAACGATTCTAAAATTATAAAGATTAAAACCGATTAAATACGAGAAAATGAACTCTAAAAAGCAGTATCAAAAAACTTTTTAAATAACCTCTAACGAAAATCTTCTCGTTATGATTAAAAAAACTCAAAAACAATATTCTTCATTAATGAAAAAAAACTCGTAATACACGTAATATTCGATTCTCGAAGTACTCAGTAATATCGTCTTGAAACATATCGTTATTAGCAAAAATTTGTTTCAGTGCTACATGCCGTGAACATTTTAATATTACAATTAATGTTTGAACCTTGATTCTTTATCTCGACTTGGAACCTTGATTCTCCGACCATAATTATTAACAATTACACTGCATTTTTTTGAACTATATAATATTATTTACGGAAAATGCAACAAATAAACTCACACACCCTCCTCACCTTTGGTGATGATTGAACTTTTGATCTCCTATGAGACCAAAGACTACAATACCGTTAGACCAAATATTCTTTAGTTACACTCCATTTTGCTATAACCTTGCCAAGCGAATCTTTTGAATGCAACCCTTTGGTTCAATAATCTTAAAAAATAATAATTTCGAAGTACCGATGTACAAAACTCGACTGTTTTTCATTGCCCGACCCTTCATCCAACTCAGAAACATGACATCTTGATAAATAAATAAAAACACATAGCCATCAAGTTCATTCTGGAAGGAACGACGCTTTATTTATCATTACAAGTCAAAACTGTATAAAATTACGATGAACAAAATACATTTTAGTCGTTAATTATTTTATGGACATTTGGGCAGTCCTTTCTTGGTCTTCATATCTCTGTAACAAGGACATTCGTCTTTGTTCCCAAGAGTACCGGAAGGAACACATAAGCATTTTCCGCAACAGTCGATACATACATCCATGCATTCACCAGGATGGTGTGTTGCAGAACATCGAACTCCGCATGCAGATGGACATTCTACATCAAATCAGTTGTAACCATTATAACTGTAGTTTTAATAAAAATAAATACAATCCATCTATGAAAAAATATTTACCTCCAATCGGTACAGAACCTTCGCCCCCCGCCTGGGAAAAAAGTTTTTCATCAAATAAATTAAAATTTCGAATATAAATCTGGAATCAAAGAAACAAATACGGTATATATAAGCTGATATGCACAAATGTATCTATATACTTACAATCGAGATTTCAACGATTGCCATGAATGCAATAATGAAGACGATGAAACTAAACCGAAATTTTGCCATTTTTTGGCCAACCCAACTCACAGGCGTTTGGTATTTAATATGTTTTTGTGTAATGAATTATGTTTTGATACCTGCATATATACAAAATGTTTTAGAAAGAGACATGATAACCGTTTTAAAAGCTATATATTATAATAATATGATATTTATTTCAAATATACGATTATTGATATTCCACGTATTTAAAAATTAACAAAAATATATTCGTGTTGTGGGTTGGGTTCACGTAAGATTAATGGTTTTTCGTGAGACCCGTAAGACCAATTTATGTTCATTGATCAACTTTATAAGCTAATGATCTAATGGTCTAAAGTTGCACGGTGACAATTTTGTGATTATTGAGAAGTGTCGTGGCAATTTTGTGATTCTGAATGTTCAGATTGTAGATCTAATCCAAGGGTTGATAATTGGTCTTACGAGTTTCACGAAAAACCTTTGGTCTTACATGATCTCAAGTCTCTGTGTTGTTTACATATCTTTATATACCAAAATTATTTTTTACATATATGTAACATTGCGAGGTTTCGAGCTAAATGGTAATAAATTTGCTAAGGCAAGAACCAACGCCATAAACTATTAAATAGAAGTCACGAATTGGAAATTTACAGAGGCGTTCAAACTTAAACGTGTGTTCGTGTTACTGAATTTGAGTGACGATCGTTGGATAGATGGAGTTCAAACATTAAATGGGGGAAACCCACGTTAAACCCTAACTCTGGCCATTAAACTAAAACTCATACAGAGTGTGAGAGGAAAAGAGTGGCAAGTTTAATTCTAAATCAGTACATGATAGTTAGTTTAATTGACGAAATATTATATACTAGGAGTGAAACAGTGTAAAAGAATAAGTGAAATCGAGTTACAGAAGAGTTTTTTAAAGAAAGAAATTCTGCGTTTTAATAAGTTTTAGAAGTTTTTTTTTTTTTTTTGTCAATTTCCTCTAGTTATTCCCTTATTTAGTTATTGTTAATTAGTGTAAATTGCATGAAAAAATAACGTATTTTAACTTGATTCATATTTTGGGTAACATACTTTCAAAACATCCATTTTGGTACATAAGATGTAAAGTTTTAAACATTTAAGTACCCGGGTAATCGGTTGAAGCACTAACCGTTATTATGTTGATGTGACGAGTTATATCATTCTTTGCTGACGTGGTTATGAGATGGATTTCTTTTAATTTAAAATTAGTCTTCAACCGGTTACTAATGTACTTAAAATGTTTAAAATTTTATATTTTATATACCAAAATGAAAGTTTTGAAAGTACGTTACCTAAAATAGAAATCAAATTAAAATACATTATTTTTCCATTAATTTGCCCTATTAATTAATGTATTTTTCATAAAATATCTAATTAACTATTAAACAATATTTTTGAAAAAGTTATCAATTGATGTATTTATTAATTAATATATTTATTAGAATTCTTTTTC